ACACTTTACACTTTACACAAGGACCGGTTCAAATTTTTTTAATTATTTTTCCAATACCATTGTATTGTTTTTAAATATCGGTGCCAGTTTGTCAATTTTTTTTGTAAAAATCGAAATTTATCTCTGTAAATACGATGTAGAAGCATAATAGTATATTATGTATCAAGTTTGATAAACGCCATTTTATACAGGAATTTAATTTAGGCACGAGCGAGCTTAAATTAATGAGTATTTGGAAAAGTTTAAAAACGAGGTGCATACTATACTTTTTCTACGACAAATACTTGGGTATTATCTTAAAATGATTTAAATCAAAAATTTGTATAGACTCTATACTATAGAGCGCCATCTATAAAACAATAGGGGAATCTGTGTGTCACCGTCAAATGTGAAATTTTATAAACACAGATTATAAAGGTTATAAATCGAAATGTATTTCTTAAAAATTGACAGTTTTTTATAGTGAAAGTAAAGAAAATGCTTTATGAGCACCTTACATTGAAGTCCGTGCCCGAATTTAAGTTATAGTTTACTGCCGGCGAAATTAAAAGGTCAGTACAATGTTTATATAAACTTTTCAAATATTGGCGTTGAGAAACTATTTAATACTTTTGTATTTTTGAATTGAGATAATAAAATAATTTTCACATTTAGTATTATTTTACAACAAAGGCACATTATTTTAACGATTGTATGACATTTGACAACTGTCAACTAACTTAAAACTAACTTCAGCCCGTGACTAAAAACTTGTTGCTAACTTCAGCCCATGACTAAAGCGCCATAAAGCCACAACTTGTCAATGTGTATTTAAAAGGCCACTTAGTGTCATGGAAACATGTACAAAGGGCGTTTTAAAGGTGGGAGTAGAGAAAAATAGTTAAGTATTAAAATTTCGCATATGTGCAAAAAAATGTCTCTTTCATGTATAATTCTATTGAGTAGGCACCAAGTCAAATAAGTAAATATAATAATTATTTGTAGTACATCTTTTAGAAACCATGTTGTGTTTAAAAGTCATTTAATTTAATGTCAAAGAGTAAGTACACAAGAAAGTAAATGAAGCAACTTAATATTACCGCGTCTAGAATATCTCTCGCATAAATTAATCAAGTTATCAATGTAAATATTAATAGTTTTTAGCTTGTGCTGAATGTATAAATAATTAATGAAACTCGATAAATCGTCTGCTTGTCTAGTTTATATGCGACAGATCGCATCCTTCATTTATTTAAATTGTGCCGATCCGGCTTTAATAATTCATTTCCATGTACCTAGGTAAAATACTAAACCAAAACATAGAAATAGAACAACTTTTTATTTATTACTTTTTTATTGTATCCTACGTCTACCGAAAATAATAATTATTTAGGTTCAACCTAACTGAGATTAATTTCAAAAATTTTAATATTCTCTTGTAAATTCCTTTAATTAACTATAACCTAAACCGTGCATTTGACCTCTAATACTTTTGATTATGTACTAAATAAGGCACACGTTAAACCCCATTGCGCACCTATATGATGTGCCCTTTTGCTATGCGCAGTGTGCAAAGTTGAGCGTTGCTTTCAAAATCACTTTTTTGTTTGTTTTTTATTATAGCCCAATTTTAAAAGTAATCGATCCTAAACCTTACGGTAATCAAACATGACCGGATGGACGATTTTTTGAGGTACTAGACTTTTTTCAAAAGTTACTGCTTTTTAATGTAAAGGGGGTTCTTTTTTCAAAACTTTAATTTTTGTGGGGCACTTGCAATGAATATAATTAAAAAAAAACTACGGATTCGTTACGAGGATAAGTGTACCTAAAAATCTAGGGTGGAACGAACTGGCTCATTAAAGTTGTTTGGCCCAAACAGTTTGGGAAATAAAAAATGGTTTTTTTGAAAAAAGAACCCCCTATACATTGAAAAGCAGAAACTTTTGAAAAAAGTCTAGTACCTCAAAAAATCGTCCATTCGGTTATGTTTGATTACCGTAAGGTTTGGGACCGATTACTTTTAAAATTGGGCTATAATAAAAAAAACAAAAAAGTGATTTTGAAAGCAACGCTCAACTTAGCACACTGCGCATAGCAAAAGGCCACATCATATAGGTGCGCAATGGGGTTTAACGTGTGCCTTATTTAGTACATAATCAATATTATTTCTTAAGAAGGGCACTTTATTTTGACGATTGTATGACATTGGACGAATGTAAACTAACCTAAAGCTATATCTTTAGCGCGTGACTAAAAATCCAGAAAGCCTCTGCTGATAACTTCAGCCCGTGATTAAAACTCCATTAAGTCACAACTTGTCGTATTTAAAAGATTATTTAGTACCATGGAAACATGTATGATAATGAGAGTTTTAAACCATCTTAATTATTCAAAGTTTGTCCCACGCTCAACCGATTATTTCGGTAAATTATTTTTTTATTTTATATTACAATAAGTAAAATTGTAAATTACATTTAGTTAATTTAATTCGTTCTGTTATTGCAGGCTTAACAATTTAAATTGATAGAATCTACAATATAATTAGTTAAACTGCAGATAAAAGGCGTCAAATTAAATAAAATAATTTTATATCCAAGTATGAAATGAAAAGGCAACGGTAAAAGCCGTAACTTCACATTTAAACTTAGGTTTAGTGTCGGTCATAGACACTGTACCTTACGGGTATGTTTTAACCCAAATCAACTATTTTAATTTTATTTTTAACATCTTTTGACAAAAATTAGCATTATTTAAATTTGTAAATTATGATTTTTACGGTTTAAATTAATAATAAATCAGTATAAATGTGTACTACTGTTGCCGTAAATAAGTATTTGCCTGTGGGTTAAAATTAAAAAATAAAGGTTCGTGAGTATGCAGCTATCGGGGTCTCCAAAAATTACTAAGTAGGTATTCCTAATGATATTTAAATATGTGGTTGTGTGGTCTTTTTAAAATCCTTTATTTTACAGTAAATAATAATTAATTAAAATAAGTATATACCTATTATAATAAGGTATAATAGATAGGGTGGTCCAAAAAATAAAAGACAAAAGACAAAATATTTGTCTCCACAATTTTTTTGTATTTTATGACGTCTAAATAAGTTGTCCAAAATTGTTATGGAATCGCATAAAATTAAGAGGTCGCCCATAATTGAACGTATCTACAGGGTGATTCACCTAACTGCTTCATTAGAGGTTTATAGATGCCCTGCCACTTCCGGTTCGACCGGAAATGACATTAACGTTGTTTTTTCGATAAAACTTATAAATATTATTGAATTTTTGAATTCTATGTAAAATTATGTAGCTGGGTCATTTTCAAGAAACACCCACTTTCAGGAAAATGAAGATCAAATTTTTTTTTGCTTAAATTGACTTTTGGTTGGATTTTTATAAATGTTTAGAGTTTTGTTTACTTACATTTAAGACAGGCAGTGTACTTTTAAATTTTTTTTTACGTTTTTTTCAGAAAAATGTGTTTAGCTAGTTTTATATATCTCCACTGTGTTACCAATTTGAAATCCAAAATTTAATTCAATAAAAAAAGTTGTTATAAAAATATTTTGAAATAAAATGTACTTTTGACTGAAATTTTATTTTTTATTAAAAATTGTATGCTTTTTTAAATATGTATGTTCGTTAAGTTACTTTTTAAAAGAAACCATTCCCATTCTTTGATAAAAAAACAATACCATTAATATCTTCTTTTAGTCACTGTATCAGTGAGTTAAACTCTAATTTATAAACACGTATTACCAAGTGATAGTGTATAAAAATCATTTTAAGTATTTTTTTAACAAAAAAAAGTAACGAAATAGACATTGGTATCACAACGGACTGGGGTACACAAAGGACTTAATCAGATAACCTAAAAAAGAAACTATAAAGGGAATAACTGAACATTTTTTTCTAAATTTATTTCAAGAAACAAATATCGTGTATAGTCGTACCAACAACATGCCAAATAAATTAATTTCTTGTGTAGGTAAATAATAAATACTATTTCAATATTTTCTTAGATAAAGACATTTTTCTTCATAGGACAAATTTATCGAATGAATTAGATGTAAAAAAGTAAATATTCACTATATTAGTTTGAAGCTAATTGCATTTCCGTTAATACAGCCTATCCTTTCTTAAAATAAATTAGTCAAAAATTACTAATTTTCATGGCGAAAACGCAGCCACTGATAACTGTAGTTCACAGCAATTTGTATCCTAGACATTTAGCAGTCAATTCCCATGTAAAATTCTTCGCTGAATCCGAAAATGCCGTAAAAAACGATTAAAGTAGAGCATATTTTGAGATATAGTCAATTCCATATTATATGGAAAATTTACTATATCTAAAAACTGTTTTCCTTTTATAATTGTTGATGTCATTTTCGGATTCAGCGGATAATTTTACATAGGAATTCACTGCTAAATGTCTGGTTTACAAATTGCTGTTGACTAGAATTATTAGTGGCTGCTTTTTCAAAATGAAAATTAGTAATTTTTGACTAATTCATTTTAAGAGAGTATACCTATAGGTATTAACGGAAATGCCATTAGCAACCAGTCCATAGGCTATAGGTAGCTGCAATCTGAAGGTAAATTTCAGTTTTAATTTAAAAAATTGACAAGTAGCTAAAATTAAAGAGCAATTTATTTTTTTGAAAATCTCCTAAATTACCTTTTTGCGATTTTCTTAAAAAAACCTTTTTTCAGAAAAGAACAAAATTAATATTACAGTTTATCTAATGGTAAAATTTAGAGGCAAACGCAGGGCAGGTGTTTTCGATTTAGGAATGATTACTTTGGTAAAATTTGTTAGGGATTATTGTATTATTCTTATCTATGTACAGATTAAAACGATAAGAAAACAACGGAAAAATTAACTTTTTTATTAGGCAGTAGACCATGTATCTATTCTATGGCAGTAGACTTTTAGTTCAACCCTTAGTATGGCTGAATATATATAAAATTATACACATTAAAATAACCAATTAAAACTCATAAAATATTCCTTACCAGTGTTTGTGTGACGTTGTGTCCCACCCTTGGCGGTATGATGGGTTGCGCTGCTGCCGTCGTCGCTGGTGGTAAGGGCGCGTTTGCATTGTGGTTGGCGTTCGGTGCCGGCGCCGTATTGCCTTTGATCGGGTTCGGCGTCGAGCCTTGCACATGCAGACGGTTCCTTAACGTTACCAGCTCGGTGCTGAGGCTGCGCAAACGCTGCTGCAAATGGACAGCTTCATTGGAAGATGAAGCATCTTAAAAAAAGAAACAATTGTCAAAACAAAATAACTTTATCTTCATTTGGTTTATGGTCTAGGCACCCAAAAATAATTTAAGATAGGTTATTTATGGAATAGGCCGTAAAAAATTACATCTTACCTTACTACTTTTTATGAATCAATTTACTACTAAAATTGTGCCTTGAAGTTAACATGTTGTATGCCATTGGGCCAAGAAGTGTCTTTTAGGGCTTCGCTTTCAGCACAAAAAGACTAACTTCTTAGCCTAGTGACATAAATAACAGTTACTCTAATACTTGCATTCGGATTTTGTCCCTCGTGGCGTACGTATGATAGTGCCAAATATAAGTGATTTTTCTACCCAGGAGAGACAAGATTAGATGTATGTAAAAAAGATTGAGTTACAGATTTTAAGGTTATATGTAAGTACACGTGGTGAGTTAAAGGGTAGAGAAAAATATATAGAATATTTTAGGATAGAAGATTAAACATGGGACATCCCAGACCTGAATAATAGCAGAGTCCATGTTTTAAAGCTACTGATAGCCACAGTAGCTAATACAAGACAAGACAAGACAAGACAAGAGAACCTAAAACAACTTTATACTTTTAGATTTCTGAGGATCTTTGTATTTAGTAAAAATGAACAAACCCTCCTATATAGGAGGACAGGGGACTGTTTTATTTTTTAGAGGACTTGATAGTTAGAGTAGTGAAATTCTTTAAGTATTAAAAGATTATTAAATAATTTTTTGTAGTAACTATTATTTCCTACACATCTGGAAAAAAAAATTCTAAAAATGTAAAATTATCTTCGACAGTACATAATACCTTTTAATAAAGCATTGCCACAGCACATGGTGATTCACTCGATGCCTTGGGATATTCAAAAACTGGTTGAGGGATCACAAAAAGTTTATCTTAACGTTCTTTTTCCACCAAAAAGATATATGTAAAATTATGAAAATTTGAATTAAGTTATAATTTTTTTGAATACAATCCGTCATAAAAACACTTCTCTACCAATAGTTTGTCTCAAAAGTAATAGAGCAAAATATATTTCATAAAATAAGGTCGTTAGCCATATGGAAATCACATATTTCATGGAAAATAATAATCGACCATTCTTCACAAGTATTTGAATTACCTTAAAAATTATTTTTGGGTTATTTTGATGGTAAAAAAACGAAACTTACTGGAAAAAATTATATCCATATATTTACAGTTTCATTGTATTTATAATTTAGACATATAAATATAATATTCTAATTATTATAATATATAATTTACTTTTAGGAAGAAATGGGTACTCATTTTTAAAAATTTACATTTTTTCAAATTTTTTTCAAAATTATGTTTGACACCCAAGTAAAAAAGACAAGCTTCAGAAGAAAAAAAATACTTTTTATTTATTTCACCTTTTTTGTTTAGCGTAAAATTTCCTACAAAAATATGTCTTCTATATTGATGCAGGTCTATTAATTAAAGAGTTATAAATATTTTTTTCTACAACCGAGCGAAAAGTCCAAATTTGCGCTTCCAAAAGAAAGCGCAAAGTTGCACTTTTCCGAGGAGCGAGCGTAACCAAAACGCTCGCTTAGTTACCATGGAAACCATAATCAAAAAACAAATTCGTATTACCCAATTACATTATTGTATGTCCAGTTTCATAAAAAGTTATAATAATTTATTGACTCACTACACTACGTAAACCATTTTTTTAAATTTTAAACTGAAAATATGTTTTGTTTGGAGATAAAGAAGAAACCAGTTTTCGCAGACTCATAGTCTACCATCTCAAGTATCGGTTCCAAATGCACACTACGTACGGTATTACCGACTCATGCATTTAAAAAAAATTGAATGCATAAACTTAAGTCAAAATGCTCTGTTCTAGGTCTAAGTATGCAAATGTTATGAACTTATAAATTATATCTTTTTATTCATTACAATAAAAATAGTTTGAGCGTTTGCAGGATTTCTGCTTGAACAAGGCTTACACATGCGGGTACATAACTTAATAATTTATTGTTAGTTTTTAATTAATTTTCTTATATTTTGCTATATGTCGTTATTTTCATAAAACTTTAACAAAGCTGAATTTAGAAAAAATCAGTATTTTTTAACATGATAATAGGAAAATAACGTTTATAATCGATAATATAAATTTACATAATTATATAAAAATAGGTTTTATAAGATTTATTTCTAGGAATTGATATTCATGTATTTCTTTTAATGTTCATTTTACAGTATCTACTTGATAAAAAAATTAGGTCAGTGAAAAAGCATAAATATAGCTTTTTTAACAAATTTAGTGATATTGATGAATACTTCTAGAACAACGTTTTTCGGGCTTTTTGGATGGCGAAGACCATAATATGGTCTTCATATTATGAAGTTGGATCTAATACTTTAAAGAATCATCTAGTTTTCGCAACGCGCGCGCCATCTGGTGGCGCTCGATAGCATTATTCAACTACAAGGTTCGTCAACAATACATCATTTTAAATAAATAAGTAGTGTTTTCACAAAACTTAAACTTAAATTAAAATTATAATTATTTAAATTTAACTCCTTTTATTAAAACTGGTATTTTTTATTTTACACATGATATTGTATTGTTTTTTTTTTAATTTTTGATTTAATTTTAGTTTTACCTAATCTATTATTGTGTTAACTGTTATGTACAGGGTGATCCCCTATAATGTCGCCAACCTTTAACTTTTTTATTTTAAGTGTCCCAAAAAATTTAAAAGTGTGGTTATGTAAAAAATACTTTTTTTCTACGTATAAAAAAAATGAAAATTGATCAATATACAGGGAAAAACAAAAAGTTTATTTTTTTTCAATGGATCACCCTATATATGAAATTATTTTTCGATCCTTGTAAAGTTCTGAGCATAATTCATATAACAAACCATATACCTAAATACACAGCCACAAGAATAAAGAAAAAAAACCGCCCTTAGAATTGGCCCAGCGGGTCTTGGTTTGACCCTAACCTCAAAAAACACCTGAAAATGGCTAATTTTAAGGTTAGGGTCAAACCCGTTGGGCTAATTCTGATGACAGAGCGCGACAAAATACATATACCTAGGTAAATTTATGCGTTTCGTCCACATATCAGGATACTTTTTATTTTTTTTTTAAATAATTATAATATTTTTTAGTTGAAAATATATATTACCTATACATAATTAATACAACGATATTTAAATTTACAATTATTTAAATGAACACATAGGTAGATATACGTTTACTAAGTGTATATTCTAATTAACAAATGTTTAAACGTTTGCATTAATTTGCGTTAGGTGAGTTATTTTATCATATTTACATTTTGCTTCCTACTGAACGCGTTCGAAAGAGTTTCTCCAAGAACCACCTCTGTACCGTACCAGTAGGTACGTATTTTATTGCGCTTTTTATATTTATATTAACAATAACCGGTTTGAGATTAATGGCTAGAAAACCTACGTACCACTACAAAAATAAACCACACTAACTCAGACTAATAAAAACAAAAGACATTACTTGCATTGTTGCCTAATCTGTTAATTTATAGCGTGTATCTAGAAAGTTGCAAACAAGTTTTAAGCTGTTTAAGGATTTACGTACCGTGTTTATTTTTAAAAATGCCTTAGTTTTGTTTAATTATTATTACTAATATTTTAAGGCACCCTAGAAGCCAAATGATACAAGTACATTTGTTTAGCTTTGAGATTATCATGTTCAAAGATAGAGTCAAAATTATTTGTTGTTCTATGAATTTGTTTTTCAAGCTTTACATCTTATATGATTTATAAGTTATATCACTTGGCTACGACGTAAAATATACAGTACAGTACCTCCCTGTAGCTACTTGTATACCTTCGGCGAAGGTCCTTCGCTTCTAGGGGGTCTCATACAGTCCCGGATAAAGGGGGCACGAGGGGCCTTTGCTCCGGGCGGCAGTTTAGTGGACGGCAAAACGAACCACTGAATGTATTTCACACTTCATAATTTAACAAAGGGACATTCAAAGGTAGATCCGATTTTTCCTATATACAGGGTATTATTGAACTAATGGTACAAATTTAAGGGGGTGGTACGACAAGTCGAAAGAAGCATTTTGGTGTACTTAATAAACATAATATGTTCTAGACCAATGAAAAAACTAAACTTTTTCTACGACAAATACTTAATATTATCTAAAAAATTATTTAAATTAAATATTTGTATAAAACGACATCTATACGAAAATAAAGTAAACATCCCAATAAACATTTTTGATGTAATTTTCACCATCAACATTGCCCGTTATTATTTAAATTAAACTTTAACAACTATTGATACTTTTAAAATATTAAAATAACTTTAAAATATCATAATGTTAAGAAAATATTTTATCCTTCGATTTTTTTATTACTATAATTGCAAAATATTATCACAACGTATTAAAACTTCTTACAACGGGAAATGGTAAAGGTACAAAAAGTGACAGAATTTCCGTTAATCAAAATTTATTCTTTGAAAATAGACTAATCTATGTAGAAGCAGTTTTTCACAGTAAAAGAGAAGATAATGTTTTATGGGCACTGTACGCACAATTTTTTACGCTTTAAAACTAGTTAACTGCACTACTACGGCGAAATCAAAAGTCCAGTACAAACATTCATATAATCTTTTTAAATATTGGCGTCAAGAAACTATTTAATACTTTTGTCTTTTGTATTGAGATAATAAAAAAAATTTCACATTAAGTATTATTTTATAAGAAATGCACTTTATTTTAACGATTGTATGACATTTGACAACTGTCAACTAATTTAAAACTAACTTAAAACTAACTTCAGCCGGTGACTAAAAATGTGTTGCTAACTTCAGCCCCTGACTAAAGCGCCATAAAGCCACAACTTGTCAATGTGTATTTAAAAGGTCACTTAGTGTCATGTACGATAAAGGTGGAAGTAGAAAAATATATTTTAGCAGTAAGTTAAGTTAGTTTAAATAAAATACAATAACAATATTTT